AACAAGAAGTTTTGAATGGCAAACCTTATTCAGTTATTCTGACGAGTCGAAGTCAAATATGCAAAGGAAATCCGACAAGAGTAACAAAGCGGTTTTCATGCTCAACTGTGAGGCCATGCTTCATACACTTCAGATTCCACCTAGGCATTTTGAAGATCTTGTGCACGGGCATTTCAGAAAGCGGGCTCACCCAATTCTTCTGATTTATAAGAAACAGATAAATGCAAGTAATGATAAAGTTATGAACCAATTATTCTTACGACTTTTTAAGGCATTTGAATGGAATGGAACTTATTGTCGCCACCATTATAATACAGCAATAAAGGAAGAGGAGTGTTCAGGGCCTTCAGAAGAGAAACTTAAAAATACTAGTTTTATCAAGAACTTGAAGAAATTCCTGGAACTAAGCTGAAATTAGTTGTGTTCATCAACAACTGAGGTGCAGTTAGTAATTCCTAATGATCTATTTAGAATTTTTTTTAACTGCTTCAAATCCTTTTAGTCGTGATTTGACCTCAAAATTGGAGTACTCAGTGCAGCCTAGACTGACTTATATGAATCCTGTATTTTTCTTTCTACTTCGATGTGAATGTCACAAATTTCTACATTTTTCTCATTAGTAGATGAATCAAACTTTCTTGTAGATGTTTTGCTGGCCTTCAATTTCACTAGTGGTATCAACATTAATGTTGAAACATGAAACTCAGACAAAATCACGTATCCCATTATGAGAACATTATAGGTTTTTGCTTAAACACATTAGTATACTTAAGTTCAATTCTTAAAGATTTAGAGTGATCTGTCAAAGTTATATATTTTTCCTTGGAAAATAAGTTCAATCCAAAATCCTGTCAGCTACTTAATAAACAAATTATGGTAAAATCACAATCTAACCCAGAACAACACACTGTTGTGACACTACATAAATAATTATAGTTACATGATGGATTTCGATGCTTGAAGGTTAAACATAGATAAACGAAACTGCACATCAATCAATTTGATTACCAATCCAATGTTTTTTTTTAAACAATCAAGCACAAAAACAGAGGATTCAAATCAGAATGAAACAGAAAAGTCTCCGTCCTCTCACCTCGCCTGCTACAACCATTCAGCCTCCTCAAGACAGAAAAATTAAGATGAAATGGCGCCGACGGAAAGAAAGCAGAAATCTTGAAATGGAAAAAGAAAAGACAGATCACGAGTTTGTGCGTGAATCTAACACTATCCGCAGTTAGAATCCAGAAATGGTGAAAAATAAAGGCTATATTAAATTCACGCACAAACCTGAAATATGCCTCTTCTTCGTATGGTCGATGTTTAACAGATAAGAAATACGAGGACAGGATATGGCGGTTTTATGACTACGGAAAGAACTAGCTTCATTAGCATACCCTAATTTAAGTGCAGCATACGCCGGTGAATCACGTTGTCGCAGTGGTCCGTACGATCGGCACGCATGTGGACGTGAGAGTCAGAAAGAGGACATACTGGAGTGAGAATGACGCGCTTATTAATGAGGATATTACTATACCCTATTAATGAATTTCAATTTGTTTTCTGATTAAGTTATCACCATTATTTTATAAAAATCATAACTATAAAAACAAGAACTCAAGTACAGTATTAATGTTACCAAAGTTTTTAAGTTATTTTAAAATATCAATTAGAAAAATGAAAGATAATATAATAATCTTTTATGAGTAATGCTAGTTTTACAAAGACACATACAAATGGGGCATACAAAGACAATCTCCACTCTTGATTTTCATAATTTATCTCCCTCTCTCTCTTTTTTTCCGTTTTTTCTTTGTTTTTTTTTCTTGCTGATGTCACTTTGTAACCCTCTTTGTATGAGTCTTTGTAAGGATACCATTTTTCATCTTTTATTGAAGTTTTGTTAAAATAACTGCTCTGTAAATTAATATATACCCTTAAATTTTAATAATTTTTTTTGAAGCAATGTGTATTAAATTAGTAAAATTCGTATATATACATACAAAATTTAATTTTCTTACATTTTTAAAAGCTTTGTTTTAACCGTCCAAGATTTGAAAATGTCTAAGAGTAAAAACAAGGGCCTAAACTATCACTGAGTGGTTTGATGGTAAAAGAGCAAAAGAATATTCTATGAGTTCTTAAGTTCTGAGTCCCCTTAGACACTAACAGGGATAATCATTCAAACTTTTATTCGATTGACAATTCCAGTATTTCGGAGGATTAATTGAAGTGTGAGCAAGTTAACCTACATCCCGGTGATTAAAAAAAAAAAAAAAAAAAAAAAGGATCTATCTGAATATTATGATGGGTTGTGCTTAGTTTCACAACCTTGTGCTTATAAATTAATACTCCATCTGTTTCACAATAATAATCGTTTTAGGCTTATGCACAATTTTAATAAAGTAATTTTCTCTCTCCTACTCCATTTTTTATTGACTCCTTCCTCTGAAAGTGTAAGTGAGAAATTTTTTGTTTTTCTACTATCTAAAAGTGTTAAAGTGTACTACTCTGAGAAGGGGTTAGAGATAGAGAAAGAGAGAGAGGAGACAAGGGCAAGAGAAAAAGTGGAAGAGGGGAGACAGGGTCATTCCTGGAGAAAGAGAGAGGTTTGAATAACTTTTTGGTTAAACATATTTTATTTTGGAAAAAAAAAAAAAAAAGCTTAAAATAATCTGAAAGGTAGGGAGTATTAATCTTCAATGCATGAACAATTTAACCACATCGTCAGTATTGTCAATAATGAATCAACTTTTTGGAGTGTGAATGTTAGCCACATCAGCTTCTTCAATCCATTCTCAGCAAGATAACTTGGGGCTTTTCACTGGGCTTAATTCCTAAATATTGCAGTCCAAGGAAAGTCCGGCCCAATTGGTTGGACCACCTGGTCTCTCTCAATTTGATGAGCAGCAGAGAACATGTAAGAAAATGATTATTCGCATGTGAACACGTCATTATGCACATGAAGATTAGGAACCCACTTTTGATGAGCCATGTTTGCACGCACATGCCACATCATCCATTTCCCCTTTTCTGTTTGTAAAGTAATAATATGCATCATAGCGATGCAACAAATATTTGCTAAATTTATTTTGTTAAAATTAGAAATGAAAGAATTTAATTAAAGCCACCAGCTTATTCCATATCTATAACTATGCACATGGAGAACGTGCAATCCTTGATATCACCTAATGCGTGCTCTTAACTTTTTAATGGCCCACGATGCTCACAACAACTTATTAGGGTTTCCTAGCTATACATTCACATATGATCATTTCATGACACGTGCTAATCTTGGTCCAATGGGGGACACTTCATATGCTAATAATGACCCACGTCAAAAGTAATAAGGATTGAGGCTAGTTTTATGTTTAAGTGAAGTATTCATTCGAAACTTTAACACAAAGCGCCTCAATATTGAGCCAAAACGCTAAGCCTAAATTACGTAGAGTAGATTACAGGAATGAAAATATAGATTTAAACGTTTGAAAAGAATATATTTTTAATAAATGATCAATAATTAGTGAAGGGATCCATGTGCGATAGCCGTCATGAAATTTGTTTGTTTTGCAATCTAATAGGCTTTATCTACAAGTTTAAAGATACTAAAATGGGTATATGCACCAACAAGAGGATGACAAGGAGAGAACATCTCACATTTCCCACCTACTTGTCCATTAAGTACAGCACAAATAATAGGTGTCAACTGTCGAGCTCGAGAGCACAAAATCCATTATAAAAACATAAACCCTAATCGACATTTACCCACGATTCCATGTTTAACACCATGCGTTTTTTATTATAAGGCTTCAATATTATTGCTTGGCCAGCAAAAATCTGTTAATTTCTTCTATTATCTGGTATATGGGTGTAGGCATAACAAGTGCACGTGCATGCATGTTCTTTAGTTAGTTCCTCATCTTAACAAGGTTGGGATTACACCTTGATTAGTTATCAGTCTGCAGAATCTGCATATGCAAGTAACTGTAACTGTGACAAAATATCGTTACTATGTAACTGTGATCGGTTTATCATATAATAATGATTTTGAGAGATGAAGGTAATTATTTAGAGCATGATTTTCAACTCAAATGAAAAGAGAGAATGTCGTAGTAGTTCTACCAGTTGAAAATTTAAGGTTTATTCTTAATTAATGTGACATGAATTAATATTGCTACGCTTGCTGCCTGAAAACAAGGAAAGAAGAAGATTCCATAATCCATATACACTGAGAATATAGTATCGGCGGCGAATATGCATGAGTCTTTGTCTGTAAGGTTGTCTCTAAAATCAGATGAACTACGTGATGTACTTTTGAACCAAACATGTTAAAACATGATTATAGATACTTCGTATGAAAACGTTCATCATTTGATGGAAAATAGGGTTCATAAATGTCAGAAGAAAATCTAGTTTATCCCAACATAAGAATCTAATATGTCTACTTTTATTGAAACTAATATTGACAAGTAACAATCTGCAAGCACGATAATTTGTTTTATATAGCTTAGAAAAAGGTTTCCTGTTTGGAAACATTAGCTAACCACCATGATCAAAAGCTCTAAATTAAGTTTATTTATATTTGGCAGTGTCATGTTTAATTGAGCTGGAATGAGGAAATTAAGGACCCTCAATTCAGATTATCAATGCATTGAATTTGGAAAGTAGAGAGGAATAATCCAGGGTGTTTTGATGAGAAAAGAGGTGTTAAGGTGGTGGTTTGGGAGGTTGGGGTGGTGGTGAAGAATCATGTGGATGCATGTGCATTGAGTTGGAGAACATGCTCAAGCCAATGCCCAAAATCCTTGGGTACACTTGGCCTTCTCTTATTCATTTGCCCCATCCTCTTGGAGGCCTTCTCTGAAATTGTATTGTGTGGTCCCTACGTTTTTGCTGCCTTAAAATAATTTGCATTATCCTTATTGGCTACCAACCCAGCTCCCAAAATTACCATATAAAAGCACCAACTTGTGTCATTTATACTACAAAGTCTTTCTCTTGGCAACCCAATTCAGAGGTGTATGCTCAAAAAGTTTGTCGAGAGAAGCTAGTCTATTCTTTTTCTGAAAAATATTTTCAAAGTATGGGAGTTTCACAAGCCCTTCTTAATTCTTTTGATTTGAAGAGTATCATTCAAGGAAATGAAGAAGTGTCCAAGACGTCAAGTGAGTCTTTGTGGAACAAAGTTTTGGAAGCTCGATCCAAGAGAAGGTGGATTGTAAGGAAACAAAGGAAAAATGGAGGACACGTCAGAACCAGGAAGCCCAGAAGGATTTTGATGAAGAAGAAAGCACGTCTGGAGGGTTCTAGAAGGTCCGCTAACGGGATCCAACGGAGGGTCAAGACCCTGAAGAAGCTAATTCCAAAGAGCGAGTCCACGGGGTTAGATGGGCTATTCAGAGAGACGGCTGATTACATTTTGGCTTTAGAAATGAGAGTAAAAGTCATGCAGATTATGGTTAAGGTATTGGGAGGTTCAGAGGAGTGAACCTATCCATTTGTAAAGGATGATACCATTTTTTTTTTTATTATCATTTGTGATTCATTGTCATATATAGGTTCTTGTTGGTAAGTTCAGCTGTATGTGTTGATTCTGTCTAGATTTAACCATAGATTGGTCGTTCTATTGTGTGAAGAATGAGTTTGAGATGGACAAGTGAATTGCTTGATTCACTATTATTTCCAAGATTTATTTTACTTACAGTATTTCAATAACTTATATAGCTTATTTCTTGTCTTTTCACCTATCTTCATGGGCTTCATCCATTAATATGTTGAGAAAACACTTTTAGTTATGAAATTTCTGGATTACTAAAACGGTAAAAATAACGTTAACGTTAGGATATTGTATCTACCTCAGAAATTGTAATTTTCGTTTGGAAAGCAAATTTTGGCATCACGGATAGCCTTTCACAGTCTTAATTCAGGTTATTAATTGAATGTGATTGATAGACGTAGGACTTAATTTAGTCACGGAACGAATTCTCATATTATGTGATAAATTATGATAATTTGGTAACTGTGAATTCATTGTAATTCTTGAACCGTGGCAGCTGTTTCAAAACCGGCAGATTTCGGTCGGCTTGTTTCTTCCGACCCAACTCCTTCAAAAATGTATTGACTTTCAATTATCACCATGGCTGAGTTACAAGCCTACTCTCTATCTCAGTTACTTCTGGTTGACATTTATTATTTAATTATTAGCAGTCAGTCATTAACGTAATCTAAGTTAAGTTTTTCAAGCTTTTCATTAAACCTAATAAAATTGGTTGTCAAACTTACTAAATTAGTGGTCGATTGGCTGTCACATTTTTCCTCTGTCGGTTGTCAGACTTGTGACTCTCTTGGATAGGGATGGGCATAAACCCGGCCCGCGGGGACCCACCCTGTCCTGGTCCGAACGGGATAGAGTTTTCCCAAATCATTCAGGATTTGGGTCGAGATCGAACCCAAAATTAGTTCCAAAATTCGGGGACACACCAGGCCCATGATAGATCTTGCCCCGCCCCCGTTTTGTCCTCGGTCCGAAATCCCCGACCTGTCCCGTGTATATATATATATATATTAAAGAGTCAATCATATATATTATATATACCTATATTGATTTTAATATTTGAAAATCATTTATATATTATACAATAACAAATTATAATTGTGTAAGTATTTTATGAAACCATATACAAATAGGTAACAAATAAAATTATATTAAATATAATAAATCATTATAAATATAAGTTATATATATACACACACATATATAATTTATATGTATTATACATTATATATGGTATTTAAGTATAAAGTATATAACATATATATGTTATCTACTATACATAATATGCTATTATCTATAATAATATGTTAATACATAATATATATGTTATCTATGTGTAATATATCATTTGGTGTTTTGATTGATTATAATAGATCAATAAATCATTATAAATTTAACTTCTTTTTTGATGATATGTTATAATTTAGAGAAAATGGTAATAAGGACAAAAAAAAACATAAAACCCTCAAACGGGAAATGGACTTTATTCGGGGATTCCCCGAATTCCCTTAATGGGCCGAGATCGAGGAATCTCCTTTAGCTTTTGGGGCCTCAGAGATAGAGGTCCCCTGCCCGTGCTCATCTCTACTCTTGTAGACTACAAACTTCTCTAAGCTATTGTACATTATGGTACGGAAGTGGGCCGATAAAATTTAAAACCGTTTTGAGTTTAGGCTCCTTGGGCCTATATAAAAGCCCTTTTGGACTCAGTCGATTTTAGCCCAATGAGACTGTATTAGGTCGAAATGGATTTGGGCTGCAGAGTTTCAGTTCAGCATTGGGAAATTTTATGTCTTGAATTGAAACCACAATGAATTTCCTGACGTGGATAAATTCACATCGTAGAAAATTGAACTCAGAAAGCAGCAATAATTATCCTCTAATACATGTGCTGTAATACAAAACTGTTTTTTCTTTCTCGGATTAAATAAAAAATATTGGTTAATTCTTCGTTTGAACGTTACACATTTGTTTTTAAGCGAGAAAACAGGGAAAAAAGAAACATGGTGGACCCAGGAGATTTACCCCATAAAAGATTTTGCTGGACGGCGGAAGTGAATGGTAAAGGCGTCGACAGCATCAACTGTTTCAAGATTTGGAACATTTCCAATACCGAAAGTGGGGCATAGAATTATCTTAGCTTTAACACAGAATCACAAGTCAACTAATCAAAACTATTATAATGGTGTCTCTGTTTAGCACCGCATTGGTTCTCCGATTGATAACCTTCTTGAAAAATCCAAGTATGTCGCTCAAGAATTGATTCAATTGAATCATTATTTGTTACATATGGTAGAAACTATATACGTATGAAACTGAGTGATCGGTTGCGTGCAAGTTTGGTATTTCATAATGATACAATTGACCATGTTTAAAATTGTGTAAAGGCGAAAATATTGAAACATTGCAACAGATACTACTTCGGCTAAGATATTCCAATTTGAGAAAGAAAGGTGTCGGCACCACCAACCGATTAAATTGGTGGGAAGTGGGAACCCTGCAATTTGTGGTGAGCTCTGGGCCTAAATGGTTAATACGTTTCCACCAAATGATGGCTGACCAGCGTATGGGCTGTTGTGCTTTTGCTTTGCAAAATGGAATGCACTGCCTTTTATACTCACTAGTCACCATAAACTTCAAAGGGGACAGCCGAAAGCTCTAGTAGTACAACCTAGTTACATAAATATATAACAGTAAAACCAGTAACTCTTTATATTCAATGTATTCTATTTCCATTTTTCAAATTTTCTCGCATTCTTAGATATCAAACTTTTTTGTCTGTTAACTTGTTTCTTGTGCGGGTTAAACCTTTCTAACTTTTTTAATAATACAGATTTAAACCAAAAACTCTCTCTAGTGGTTTATTTCACAATCTTAAGTAGTTAATACCCACTAATAAATTATCTAATTTCTTTTTAATAAAAAATAAAATGAAATGAAAGGGCTGAAATAGCACCAGTAATATACTAAAATGCCCCATTAGAAAGAAACTGGGTAAACAGACATTCCAAATCTCTATTTGTAATTGACCTCTTCTAAGTAAAATATTTAGAGCCTGTATGGTTATGTTTCTTTACTGATGGAAATAGTTTTTTCAATCTTATAAGCACTTTTATATTTTTTTAAGGTTATTTGGATGCATTTCAAAATTGCTTTTTGGGTTATAAAAGAGCTATATTATGGCTTTTTAAAGAAATTAAATTTTGAACCTTTCTCGTAAACTCTTTTTAAACTTATTAAAAATGTTGAAATTTCAAAAATATCTTTGTTTAATCTCTTAAATTTCTTTTGATCTATTATTATATATCAAAACCCTTTTTAGTAAATTAATATTAAAAAGCCTTTTTACATTTTTTTTAGCCAAAACAATTAACAATATGTTCATAAAAACCTCTAATAACCTCTTTCTTTTTTCAATAAACTCTTTATTGTTAAACTTTATTCGAAGAAGTTGTATTTTAATACTATCATATTGTGCATGGTTTAACAAATATTTTTGGTTTTGACTTGTTCATGTGCAGGTAGTTCACATCCCAAGATTTCGGGTCAATATATTTATCGATTGATAATTACCAGAGCTTACAATGCTCACGGGTAAGGTATGTCAGTGAGTACAATTAAACTAGTCAACCTTCTAGAAAGTCTTATCTTCTGTCTGAAAGAGAGAGATCGAATTGTGATTTGTGAAGGGCTTGACTTCATTTATTAAAATTGATTTCGTTATCTTGAGGATAAGTTTATGAATTCAAGTAGGTGACTTTTAAATTAAAAGTAAGGGGTTAGGTGTGTTAACAAAATCTTGAAAATAAATCACGAGCCAACACCTAGATTAATTTTACCTTATGGATGTCCTACCAATAATGGAGGGTCTACCCAGAGAATTTCGTACGTATCGGCGGTATCTTTAGTAAAATCTAACGCAGATGGCAATGAGCCAAGCTTGGTAAAAGAATAAAACATAAGTTTGTCAGGATTAAATAAAAATCCAGTCAAAATTCAACCATTTCGGCTGACAACAAAACAAAGAGTCAATTTCATGTATCTGGAGACCAACGCATTTAAGAGAGAAAACTATTAATTAGGCAAAAAATGAAGAACAAAAATGGCTAGTTTTAATAACCAGTCTGATGATGCAGATATAGTAAAGGCGTAAAGGGTAGAGCCATAATTATAGATCGGACGTGGTGTCTGTAACAGGAATAATAATTAGCGGAGACTCACTGACCGTAGTCAAAATATTGGCTCGAGTTCCAAAAGTAGGGTGGTAATGGAAAATGGGGACTCACCGGCGGAACAAAACAAAAAACCTTTTAAATAATTATCACAATTTTTGTTTGTCTCTTTTTGAGCTCCCAAACGTATCCAAGAAGCAACAATATTAGTCAAATCAAACAATCGTATACTAATACTTTATTTGTAAATATTTAATCACTACAGCCTCCACTAACATGCAGAGGAAGATGATTAATAATAGAATAATGTAAAGAACAGAAGATCCTGAGAGCGTGTATCAGAAGCAAACCCTAGAATATTCCAAAACCGCGTTGTTAAACCTTTACCTATCTTCATCAGTCTTCTTCAGTCCTGCACTCTCTTATCTCAAATGAGTGGACTCCAGTAACCAAAAATCATTAACCATGTTATTCCTGCATCTCATGTATATTGCTTCTGTCATTGAAAGAGCAAGAAACTGTGAGATTTCATCACAAATTGATCATCATGATGTGATCATGTAGGTCTAGATTGACAAAAAGGTATTTAACTTTTAAATATGTAAAAGATGATTATTGATGAACGTAAGATCCCCAAAAAAAATTATGGATGCTATAATGAGTGAATTATGATCTCATATTGAGTTAGTTTAAAATCATAATCCTATTTAGAGAAATTGTTTTTATATTTGTAGGTTGGAGATTGAACTGTTAAGATCTGGGAAATCTCTTTAGTTGTAATGTAACTAGACAAGGCATGATTCTCATTAGAGCCAAACTCACGGCATAGATAGGGGCACGTACTTGTGATGTCATGTGCACAAAAAAGATGACCGTTTGATCATACACGTGAATGGTGCCGGTGTGTGTGTGGGACCCAATAAAGTATAAAGAAAATAAATATAATAACACGTGTGAGAAAAGGAAAGTGTAATTGCATCGATCATGTGAGGGGATGGGATGGAGACAACGGGCCGTGTATCGTGGCAAGGTTTGGCTGAGGCTAATTACATTGATTCTGGGTAATCTGTGGTTTGGATTTTGCTTGGCATATCTTTTTAGTGTCGCCAAACTCTTGTCTCTTCAGTTTGTAATCAACAATTTAATTAAAACTAGTGCATATAGTCCTGCTTCTGTGGGTATCTTTTGCTTTTCAATTCTGCAAATGACAATGATTTTCAACTTATTTTATCATATTTTGTTATATTTCTTTTTCATATTAGATTGACAACCCATAAACATCTCAATTCCTCAATTAAATCTGTATATCATGTACGGAATTATATGTGATAGTTTGATTTTATATACTAGCATGAAAATAACCATTAGTTGTACAAAATTTTATTCTTTAAGCTGCAGGCCTCCATTTTAAATGACCAACAATCATAATCGTCAATCAGCTGGACAGCTGGTACCACGTAAAATCGTCAATTAGAATTTTTTAATGGATATTAATATAGTATAGGAATTGGAGAGAAAGGGAGAGGGATTAATTAAATATTTTCACTATAAATTAAAAGCGAGAAACCAAATTATTGAGGCTACACGCAAATTATGCCAGCGTGCGATTCATGTCTCTTGGTTAACCACACGTGCGTCAACTTTTCCATACGATTTTCACCGCAATGTTATCTCCACCGATCTTTTTTTCTCCTTTTTCTTTTTTATTTTTCTCTCTACAAATAGAAAGAAGAAAGCATCCATTGAATTGAATCATCTCATTTCACACCTTTAATTTGAATCTTATTCCAACTTCAGGTTCATTGTTTTCCATCGCCTAGCCTATAATTGCCCTTTTATTTTGTTTATCAATTAAAGATCCCTACCCCTCCAATTCCAAATTAAGTTCATCCACTCACTAATCTTAATCCATGCATTTTTATACATTACGTACCCACAGTTTGAATCATTCAAAGTTTCAAACACAAAATTATTTAATTTATGCTATCTACACCTATTTAATTTATGCTCTATATATATATATATATAAAATACATGATTTAGTGCAATTTAGTCCCCACATAATTTAATCTGGAGTCCATTAAATATATAATCGGCTCTGAAGATATCGTGATTCTATATAATTAAAAAAAAGAAAAGTTAAAGAATAAAAAGAAAAGCTAGCGAATATCTTATGAGGATTCATTAACTCCCATGCACACACGACACGAGCGGCTTACAAATTGAAAACCTTTTACGCCGTAAGAATCTCACGTGTACCCCAACTCCGTTCACACTAGAAACTACTTAACGGGTCAAACCATACGTATGAAAGCGTCGACCACTGTATCCGATTGCCACTGAACAATCTGAACTCATGCATTAAGTTTCCCACCGGTACTGTTCATTTCCGTACAGAAATGTTGACCTACAATTACCGGTAAAGTTTTGTTGCCACAGTGCCACTTGCCCAACCCTTCAATTGCCAAGTCTCTTTTGCTTCTATACTAATCTCCCTCACTCTCTCTCTCTCTCTCTCTCTCTCTCTCTCCCCGAACCTACCTTATAAACCAGATCAAACCCTACCATTCTCTCTTTATTCAGCCATTCATAAACCTCACTCTCTCTCTTTCTATCTTTTTTCTCTTCTTTAAGTTCTGTTGATGAAGAGCTTACACTTATAATTAATCCATGGAGAGCAAGGAAGCTAAGGATATTGTCGGAGCCTCATCATTTCCTGATCATCTATCAAGTAGTTTTCCGTTACAAGGCATATTTGACTTCTATGAGGGAGATAAGAACTCATTAGGGTTTATGGAGCTACTGGGTATTCAGGACTTTGGTTCTTCCTCATTTGATACAGATACGGTACCTTTACCGTCCACGGTACCATCCTCATCTCCTAATCCAACTCTTGTTAATAAGGTGGAATCTTCCGAGTTGTTGAATCAACCTGCCACCCCTAACTCTTCCTCTATTTCATCGGCATCGAGTGAGGCTGCGAATGATGAACAATTAAAAGTGGAAGAACAGGAAGAAGATCAACAAAAGTCCAAAAAACTGTGAGTTTTTGTACTGTTTCTCATGCTGATATTGCACTTTAAAGAAAGCCTTTTGAGAATTTTTCAAGTGAGAAAAATGGTTTTCTTTCGGTGTTATGTGTATCTTATTTTCGTTTCTCAAATTTTAAAGAGAAGCACATTTGGTTATAAGGGTTATAAACTATGTGGGGCTTTTGTGATATGTGATTTGAAGATGTAAATTTTGTTTGGTTTTTTGTGTTTGTGGGGCTAGGTTGAAACCCAAGAAGACAAATCAGAAACGACAGAGGGAGCCGAGATTCGCGTTCATGACAAAGAGCGAGGTTGATCATCTGGAAGATGGATACAGATGGAGAAAGTACGGTCAAAAAGCTGTGAAGGACAGCCCCTTTCCTAGGTACTAACTTCTATGTTAACTCATTTTACAATCTTCTATTTTGAATGGTATATTGATTTAGATCAAAATTAGGTAGCTTTTTAGACCAAGTATTGATGGGGTTTGCATTATCTTGTTTGTGGTGGATTTACTTAAAGGAGTTACTATCGTTGCACCAGCGCATCGTGTAATGTGAAGAAAAGAGTAGAGAGATCTTTTAGTGATCCAAGCATTGTGGTGACGACTTATGAGGGGCAACATTCCCATCCAAGCCCGCTCTTACCGCGTCCAAGCCTTGTCGGAGTTCCTCCGGGGAACGGTACTACCTTTGGTATGCCAATGCAGGGAGCATTATCTAATTATCAACATCTTCAACAATCCTTTCTTAATAACTTCTTACCTATGAATTTCGGTTGTAATGGTCCCTCAACAAATGCTGCTGCTTTTCTTCATGATCGGCGTCTATGCGGCGTCCCTGGGCCTTCCTTGCTCAAAGATCATGGGCTTCTTCAGGACATTCTCCCTTCACATATGCTAAAGGAAGATTAATTAGATGATTAGTATATTATTACTGCTATGTAGTTCTCTTACTGACTTTTTTATAAGGTGTAGATTGTAATCCAATAGCCAATGTGTGTAATCTTCTGGTTGAAAGCAAAGCATAGCTCATCTTTTTTACGAAGGAACTCACTGCACCTTATTCTCAAACCCTTAAGAATATCTTTGTAACAAGTGGTTTTTGATTTTATGCAGAGATTAGTTTCTTTCTTTCTTTCTTTGGGTAAATTTTGTTTTCCCTTTTATAAACTTTTTTGTGGTTTGGAGATCGTCGGGATTAATAAATCAGAGTTGGGGCCAACTCCTTTGTCTTATTTCTTTGTTTTTGTCGCCCAAGGAATATGCATTGATTTACTGAGCACCAGAGTCAAGATTTTTAAGGGCTAGGGTTTCCCTCCAAAGAACAATTATTAAGAGCTATCCTTGTCTGGGAATCCACAAAACCAATTCTTTTCTTAAGAAAGGGTCTCTAATTGGGAAAATTTGGTGAGGTGAAATTAATATGCTGTCTGTAGATAGATATGATAGGGAGAGGGAGAGGGATACAATGTGGAAGAATAACAGACCCACTGACTTAAATGCCAGTTCTTTCTCTTGCGTATAAAAACTGCTACCCATTCTTTGACTGAAGAATGGTGGAAATGGTAAAAATTAAAGAAACAATTCAAACCAGGAACATAAAATGCACAGATTTTAGCAGCTGAATGGCCATAGAAACGGTGACACGTAAAATAGTTATTGCTGGGAATACCAATTGGTTGCTCACTCGCAGTAATGAAACCCAAAACTGCTCTCGTTGTTTACGACGTTCAAAGACAAGCTGCTTTAATCTTTTATGCTTGTCGATGAAATTCTTCCAAGTCAACAAATGACGCTGCATCTCAACAATTTGTTCCTTACCGTTCGTTCATACATCCAAGGAGTAGTTTAATATAATATAAATATTTACGTTGACCAAAACTAAATACGATATAACTTGTTGGGAACAAACTAAACAACTGTTACTTAATCAGAAGCTAGGAAAACCAAGTTTCAAAATTTAAACTAGTCTCTGATCATTATTCTCCAAATGAAGGAAAATATATCGCATTAAGCAAATGTACTTTTTTCTTTCTATCAAGACAAGTGATGAATGCGGGCGACCCTCAGCTATTTATCGTAATTAAGCTGCAGCGACATCTCCTCAATCACAGATTTCAAACAACAGGCAGGCCCTTCGTGTTCAGAAAATCTCATGTTTTCTTCTTTAGTTCACACCCAGCAATCATGGAACTGCTTAAAGCAGGTTCGTCTGGAATAGCATACCGTGTGTTTTTAATCTAACTTGGTCGGGCCTCTTTATATACATATACATTGGTGTAAGTATAACTTAATATTCTGCATCCAGCAGGAAAAGATTTGTAAGATAAACTCAAGAAACTGAACTAAACATCGACTTTTACATTCCGAGGTTTTTTAAATCTACCAAAACCTGCACAAGTAAACATCAAAAATCATTTACACAATAATGTCGTTTGCAACTTGCAAGTCCATCATATCATATCACATCTGAAGCAATTAAAAATAGTCATATCACATGATATAATTCTTTATTTACAAATTTTCCTACTTTTAAAATTAAACAGGAAGAATTGTTGACCTGCTTATAAATTTTAGTAACATGGAACAGAGCCTCCATTCATCTACAAAGGTAACTAACCCACTAGCATCAAACATATTTCAAGCTAATAAAAAACCTAAAATCGTTATATTGTACACCTCACAAAATGGAGAACATAAACTCCGGTGAGCCTAAATCACTTATCCTCAAAATAATCAGTTGCAAATCAATGGCAGCTTCAATAATCCACCTGAGTCTGATATGCGTGCTCTTTTACAGCCCATGCTGTAGTTCTTAAGTTAGTATGTTTTACATGGCTTGTTTTACCAGGAATTAACTGCAAATCGAATGGAGAAAAATCTCTTTAATTAGTGATAATTTACAGGTATATAATAAATAGGGGCGGTACATATTTTATGTAACAACAAAGTTAAATGAAAGAGGATAACTGAAGTAGGGCCTGGAAAATATTTCACATATGCTCTAAGAATTCAATCCGATATAGACCCAAAAAAAAAAAAAAAAAAAAAAAGCCGGTACCGATAGACTCCTGAATGGCAAAGAGTGATTAAACTAAAAACTTGGATAACCAATCATTTATGTAATACGTGTATGCAGATTTGACTAACATAATTATATCTTTCCAGATTAAACAATGCAATTTATGATTATAATTAAATTTCTTAAATATGATTAACATAAAAAATTCAAATCCAAGATCAAGCAATCCACATTCACTGTAACAACAACAATAACATATAGGACAAAACTTTAGTCCTGAGTGGAAATAAATTACAAATGTTTAACAATTATTACCTGTTAAACGCAGGTTGGATCAATTACTGGACTTGCTTCGGACTTTACTTGCAGATGATCCAGTTCCTGAAGAATCATAGCAAACATTAATTAAGCTACACAGAATCCCCAAGTAGTCAAAGAAAGTAGCAATTTTTTATACCTGGTCTTAATAAAGATGTTAAAACAGGTAATTAAAGAGCATATGCACCTATCTACAGATATCCATAAATATATCCACTTTTCTACTGTAATAAACAGTTACTGCACATAGACAGGCTCTAATCTCCGTTTGAGAACATGATCATACCAAACCATTATTTTAAACAATCCACAGGCAGTTCAACCAGTTGTGAATAGTTCACAGTTAATACAAAAAATATTGCAAAATTAAAAGATTAATCAATTCATTATTCTAATTTACATGATTTATGGGAACTATATGTCAGGCTATGCACATTTCAATAATCTACCAATAATTAGTATGCACATGAAATTTCTAGTTCATCAATCAGCATGGAAGGCTCAAATTAACTCATGTAAGTGCAGACTTCCAAATAGAGAACAAAAATACGAATTTGAATCCCTGAAAAATGCACGCAATCTAGGCATTAAAACTTGCAGTAGATTAGACAAATCAACAAAGGTTACTTTCTCAATGAACTTCTTTATGTGCTATCAAGCTTCCACAGTAGTAGATCCATTTCATAACATGTAAACAAAATCACCTGGTTAATAGAAAACAATATCTTCAAATCAAAAGATATTTACCCATAAAATTAAGTATCAAAACCTACTCTTCTCATTTTTGCTAGGCAACTCACTTGGTAGTTTCCAGTTTGCATAAGGTGCTCAGCACAATTTGCTAAAATTTCAGCACTATCAGAAATGTATAACTAAAACCATATAATTGTCCCAATCCAAATCGGAACGTCCAAGTCACTTTCTAACTATCGTATCCATGCCTTTGAACGGAAATACCATAAGCATGACTAATAATGCAACAGAATTTGCTCCGTAAACATAAAAGGAAAAGAAATTATTTCTCACAGATGCAGAGATGGAAGGTTGTTGGAGTTGAATTTTCTGATGGAAGTGATGTGACTGAAGCTGCACTTCTTGGGTTTGATCAACTTCTTGGGTCAAAAGCAGGCTTGAATTTTGCAGCTTTTGCTGCTTCTGCAACTTTTGCTCATATAATACATATTCCTCAGGCTTATCCCACTGTTGGTCATTTAAAATAAAATTAAAAAATCAACCACACCCCAAGTAACAAACCACAATAAAAGGGTGCAAGAAAGTTAACAAAGGAAGAAAACTTACTTTACTTTCACAAGTCTCACAGTTGTAATAGTACTTGTATCCATCAGGGCAAGTGTGTTCACTCCAATCACATTCAAGAGAAGCTTCTGTATGTGGACTTGGAGGTACTGCAGGAACTGTTGCCGTGCAAGCACTTGTCTGAGGAGTGTTTCCAGTCCTTGGAGACTGCTGCAGCAAAGTAAAACATTGACAAAGGTATTAGTAGCTCTAAACACCCACATAAATCAATTTAAACTTTCATATAATGAAAAAAGAAAATGATGAGTAATGAACAAAAAGATGGATTTAAGAAGCCATTTCAATAAGTAATTTATTTAGGAATTTAGATGTTTAAAACTTGTTTTAGATTTTTATGTTTCCTTACGTGAGTAGGACTTAATTAGGGCTTGGCCCATACATAAGACTTTAAGTTGTTTTGTAAGAAGAATTGGCTTAAAATTGAAAATGATAAATGTTGGCTTTTCCTCTCAACTTTCTCTAATTCCTCCTATTTTCTCCCATTACTTATTCTTCTAGTTTTCTCCTCTTTCTTCCTCTCACTTTTTGTTCTATCAGTCCTACCAGTAAGTTCAAGCATTACTGGCCCAGTTGCACTAAAACATCAATGTCAAAATGATCAATGTTGGCTTTTCTTTTAGTTCCTCGTATTTTCTTCCATTAATTTTTCTTCTTGTTCTTCCCCTCTCTCACTTTCTGTTCTATCAGTCCTATAAGTTCAAGCATTACCAGCCACACTGCATTAAAACATCAAGGTGTCAAACGAAATGGATAACTGGCATTGCTTACATATCAATCAATGCAGTACCTCAAGCCTGGTAACCTGGGAATTTTGCTGCTGCTCTAAATTTTGAGTTAACAGATGTCTCGGATGCAACTCTTTTTGGATCTCAGAGACCATTTGCTGAGATGACTGAGAACTTTGCTGCAGAGGGTGCACCTGTTGCAATGCCACCTGAGAAAACTGTGAAGGCGCTTGCAGCAGAGAAGAGTGTAATTGTTGTGTGACACTTAGGGCAGCAGCTTCTTGGTTTGCCAAGTGCGAAACAGCTTGTGGCTGTGAATTTGTGGACATATTTAGCAAGGGATATGATACATTAGGGGCTACATGGCCTCCAATTGAATCACCAAGATTGGGTGCTGGCCTAGAACAAGTAAACAAACGAAACACCAAATTAACTAATTATATAAGACATGAAACTGACCAGGCAACGAGATGAATGGCAACAAAAATTATACCTAACCGGTTCTTGAGGATTGAGACCAAAACTTGGACTACCAAATGCATAACTGCCCCTGGAGAGTGAGTGAGAGAGAGAGAAAGGCAGTCAAAAAAATTGGCATAACGGAGTCAAACCTTGATTTACAACCGCTAAGCTTCCAATTTCATACGTATGAAGTCAATATTGAGCTTAAGCAATTTTTTCCCCAAAATAATAATCAAAAGTTAGGTCAAGATTTGATTTCAGCAAATATATATTCATATTGGAAAACACAACTGGGATGTAACAAGGCAGACTCAAATTCTTTCTGACCTAACTAAAGAAAAACCACCAAAAAAATATCACCCAAAACAAGAATTAACTTATTNATCATGGATGAAACAAATATCTTTCTCTCTCTCTCTTTATATATATATATAAACAAATTTTATTTATGGGAGTAAAAACAGGAACAAGAACTGAGGCAAATAGATGGTCTTTGATGCATGAGACAATATCATGGATGAAACAAATATCTTTCTCTCTCTCTCTTTATATATATATATAAACAAATTTTATTTATGGGAGTAAAAACAGGAACAAGAACTGAGGCAAATAGATGGTCTTTGATGCATGAGACAATATCATGGATGAAACAAATATCTTTCTCTCTCTCTCTTTATATATATATATAAACAAATTTTATTTATGGGAGTAAAAACAGGAACAAGAACTGAGGCAAATAGATGGTCTTTGATGCATGAGACAATATCATGGATGAAACAAATATCTTTCTCTCTCTCTCTTTATATATATATATAAACAAATTTTATTTATGGGAGTAAAAACAGGAACAAGAACTGAGGCAAATAGATGGTCTTTGATGCATGAGACAATATCATGGATGAAACAAATATCTTTCTCTCTCTCTCTCTCTTTATATATATATATATATATATATATATATATATATTGCTCCGTGGTTTTTATTTCATCCTTCTAGTAAAGCATACAAGACTGCTAGGGAAGAGGTGCAGAGTGATAATACATTCTGATTTACATGAAACACAAGATTAAACTATCCTTGAAATTAAGTGAAGACATAAAACAAATCAAGAAAGTAGACAAACCACGACTTTGCCTCATCTCATCACGAACAACGTAAATATCTTCAACATGCCCATAAGAGGAAAATATCTGACATAGAAAATAGCCATATATAACTCATAAATGCTTAGAGAGAAAATATAACCAACATTAATTCTGCAAGGCTCACATGCACTGCACACTTTTTGTTCTATGACAAGTACTTTATTCAGTCCTAAGTGTGCAGTAAGGTCAATTCTCTCCTGAAATGATTTATATGCAAACCATTCTTCACCATAAAACAAAAAGTCTAAATTAACTTTGTGTTCATTGCGAACTTTTTTATTTCTGATTCAGTTATAAATACTTATTCCAGAGACAAACATTTAGACCTAATCATGTGCAACATGGCCCATTTCCTAACTGGAAAAGATTTTGTATGCAAACCATTGTTAAACATAGACAAAAAGCCTACGGTTGATTGCTACTATTATTCACGACTTGAACACTGAATTTCAAATCTCAATGATTCTATTGCCATTGAAATCTTCTTTTCATCCCATTCAATGGGTGGTCTACACATGTAAAGGCAATATTTGTCACTTTTACTGTCATGCATACTGCCTGTGACCTATGTACTCTGGCATGTCTGCATATATTGTAATGAAAGTCAGTAAAACCGGGGATAGCAATTAGTTTATTAACTTAGGGACACACATAAATGCTCATGGACAAGAAGCATACTTCCTCTATTTCCTTTTTTGAAGCTTGTTTGCTCAGGCTGCCTACATACAACTTGTCCGGTGGAGCCACTACAATAGCACAAATTAAAAAGTTGACTAGATAAGAACAAATGATAGATATATCATAAAGTAAACATGGAATCTTGAAGTTTTGACGACACAGATGAGCAAAAAAGATGACCTAGAAGCATGGTGCAGAAACAAAATATGGCAGATACAATTTTCCCTCAGAAACAAAGTGACTAATTGCTATTTAGGCCAAATAGCAATCACACATTGTAACAACTCAAACCAGAAGAAGAAAACAAAAATAAAGATATCCAGAGGATATAAGCTACCCTTAGCAGGTGCAACATTAAATGTCAACTGAATTATACTTATATTCCCATTACAATTTAATGAGGTGATGCCAAACTTTCCATGAGCACAGTAAAACAACTTCTGTACTCCCTTCTTAATCACAAAGCCAACAACTAGATGGTCCTAATTCTTAAGAAAAAGCACATCAGCTAAAAGATATTCTATAATTTCCACTGTGTGAAGAAAAATGCTTCTATTTAATAAGTTACAAATATTTTTTTCAGAGGTTTACAAATATAAGCACAGCGCAAACTGCATCCAGTGTACCACTAACCAAGAAGTGTCTAGCTTGCAATCTATTTTCAATAACAAGCAGCATAAATGATTTTAACTTTTGGAGTACTTCTAAGTCATATTCAACTAACTCCACAGATTAGTTTCATCATGTAAGCAGAGAAAGAATCCTTTTCACTTGAATAAGCCTACATGTATAGTAGAGTCCTCTAGCTCTACAGCAAAAGGATAGTAAAATACTGACCAGCATGGGCACAAAAATTGGTCTTGCAAATTTCTCTAAACAGATCTCTTATATATTTAACAGGCAACTGAGAGTTTGACAATTTTAGTCAGAATGTTAAATTCTGAATTAATATACTTGCATATTTAATAACAAACACTTACCAAGGCGTTCTCGTTCTCCATCAGCATATCTGACTTTAATCGCAGCCTGCTCCTGGAAGAAGTAAATTTATTTATTATTACAACATGGAAATGATAGCGTCCAGAGGATTTTAGTTAATATCTTAACAGCTAAATAACTCACCCCAGGAAAAATATACTGGTTGTTTAGAGCTCTAATAGCCCTGTCAGCCTCTTCAAATGTCATATACTTCACAAAGCAATATCCTGTTTGTGATCCACATCCATTTAATTACCAAAAGTACTTCAAGATCATATGCAATGTCAGCAAGATGTTCATTGTAGTACAAACATGTTCTAGGACATAGGGACACGCAAAAAAAGCGTGAAAAAACCAAAATACACAACTAATGATGCTTTAGAACGCACATGAGTATGAATTAGAATAACAATACTCAATTTTTAGAAATCTTGAGCTCTACAAGACTACAACAAATTAAACTCTAAAAGAGTGCATCAAGGTGCAAAAGTAAGAACTCTCAGCTATGCAAACATTAACAAGTCATCCAACGAATTAACATGTAAGATGGATTGTGCAGTTCAGAATTTCAGAAAAATAATACTATTATGAATTAAAATCAAATCAAATTGTTCAATATGGTGCATACCTTGTTGCTGACCAGATCTCTTATCCCTAGGCAGAATAACCTCAACAATATTTCCATGTTCTCCAAACAAGGAGCGGATCTGACATAAAGAAGCATATCTAAAAGTTGAATAGGGTTAATAGATGTAAATAAAAGAGAAGCAATACCGGAAGGTTGTCTACAAGTAAATAGTTAAAGCGTGTACAGATGAACAATCTTACGACACACTGATCACTGCCTATTAAACAACTTACATCTTCTTCAGTTGCTGTTCTTGAAACTGGTGCAACATAAAGTTTTGCAGGAATGACACCATCAACATGATCTAAGAAGCATAAGGTGAAAGAAAAAATATACACCTTAAGTAATCATGACATATACATTCGAAATTTCAGATTCTAGATTGAAAGAATTAACACTGAACCTCCAATCGAAAAAAAAAAATTAACACTGAACCACTTGTGAAAAATGAAGCCATTATAATTTTAAAAAGATATAAAGATAAAATCCCTAGTAGGTAGCTTTATTTTACTCAACGTAAGATCCTAAAAATCCCTGAGAGTTAATTAATTTATGGTTTACTTAACGTAAGTGATTGGGATAAGGTTGTTTAATTTATCAAGAGAAAATTTCATGGCCTAAAGGATAAAATAAAAAGGATAATACCTGTATGAGGAAAGCCTCTCTTCCGACCAGAAAATGGCGTAGGCTGACCACCAAAAAAATGGCAAGGGTCGCCGTTCATTTGGTCGAATTGCTGGTAGCGTCGGCGGTGCTGGTGGTTGTCGGATAAATTAGGTCTATGATCATCAGAGAACCAAGAACAACAATTGCCAGGATGTGAATTGCGATTCGCCTCTGGTTGATCACCGAAACGTTCGCCTCTATGCCTCTCCATTTCAAAACCCTAAAGCCAAAATTTAGCGAGTCAAAAATAAACAAGTTGAAATAAAGCGCGAGAGGAAAAACAGTTATGTAAGGGTAGAAGAGTAAATAAAAATATGGGGAACCCAAGGTTTTCCCTGATGACAAAGTGGTGACAAAGTGGTACCAAAATGTTTGAAAAAAGATAAATAGATACTTTCCGTCCTATATTGATTCATGTTTTGTAATAGTGAAAAGACTGGAATGCCTTTTCAAATTTGATATTTTAGTTTTTTATTAATTTATTACTAGTCAACTTATTCAACTACATAAATACCCACATCATTATGGTGAATTACATTATGCCCTCATGTTATTATGAGTCAGTGAAATGACCATTTTGTCCCTATGAGTTTGTAAAAAATGAGACATAACAAATGACCAATTCATCCATGTTTTGGTAGCAGCAATATAAATATACTCATTTGTGGTTGAAAATTGAAAATTTTCATAATTTAAAAGAAAACATTCATACAAAAAAAAAACTAACCAGTTTAAACAGAAATTCAAAATAAAGCATTCATAATTAACATGAATTCAGTATCAATTAAGTTTTCATGGTTTAAACAGAAACCATGAATTCAGTACATGAAAATGTGTATAGGGAAGATATATAACTGAAACTTCAAACTTCAAATCAGGTTTGAAAAACTAGGCAGTTTTCATATGCACACCAATAGCTACAAAAATAGGCACAAAATTGTCCTCTTCTCCATCCTGCAAATCCACAAATGCACACCCATAACTGTAAAAGCAGGCACAAAATTATCGAAAGACACCTTTTGAGGGGTGGGCCATTGTTAAGAACAATGATATTATTAATTATTCAAGGAAATTTCAACCAAGATTGCTTAATGCTTGATTTTTATACGCATAGAAAAAGAAAAGGGAACAAAAGATGTATACTTGAATCAACTTAGATGTAGTTCTACTGATTTATAATGAATAATGAAGCACAAATTTTACATTTTCAGGAAATTTTTCCAAGCCATCAATGAAAATGTGAAGTCAGATTTACTCAATTGATTAGGCATACAATATGCTCATGTCAAAATATGAATTAACCCTAACAAAATAAAATCAAAAATCAAAGAAGAGCATTGGGCTTCTATCATTTGACGAAACCAAGTGGTCATCAAAATCATATTATTAGATATATATAAAATTAAAAAGTCACTCCTAAATCCTGATGCTAGTTTGAAACCAAATAACAATTTAATCATCTATGACACCAGTACCAAATCTATATTTCCAATGTAATAAACTGTAGATACATACTCTTGTCTCGTACAAACATCATCATTGCAAATCCACTACAATGGGACTGTATCATGCAAACTGGATTCTTTTAAAAGAGACATGAGAATACTGAAAATTTTGTAAAGATAAAATCATGTTCCAGCATTCTACTACAATTAAACCAACGGCGGGGGTTTGAATAGAGAGACTAATCCTTCCTCAGTTCCATGTATTCACAGTGAAGACCTTCTTGATTTAGGACAAAATTTCCAACAATTTTTGTTTTTTTGAAAGAAACAAAAACTACAAGAAAAATTCAAATGTGATACCCTTCTAATACTCAACCCCAAACAATGAAATAATAGTAACCCTTTTAGACAATAACCCACACAATAAGAGCAATCAACAACTAATAAACTAGAGCAATCAGCCAAGAAACCCAGAAAAATATAGCAACCAGCAACCAATAAATCACCCAACCAGCAAGCCAATACAAGGATAATAAACAACAAAATGCAGCCTAATGACACAGATAAAGAGCAGTAAAGCAAAACTAAGACAAAAAGAGATAAAAACAATGCTAGACTTTGAATATCCTCCTTATTTTCCACTCTTCACTTTTTTGAATATCCTCCCCGACTCCTTTTTATCCTATTCAGGATCTCTCCATAACAGAATTCCCAATGTCCCACATAATCCTTCCTTAACATTCACATGCCTAGGAACACTTTTGCCCAATTGCAAATAATCCTCTACTACCAATTCCAACACATCAGGTGTTTCAGCAGATTCCCATAATTCAACTGCTAATAATCTTGTACATGAACATATCACATTGCAGCTAAGTAATAATACACACCTATTTTTTTTAGTTGTTGTGTTGGAGGTTCAAGTGGCAAAAAAGCATTTAGTTGACCAAGCAACATGTTCGAAACAATGGGTTAGAGTAGGATAATCAAAGTACAGAAAAAATAAGTGACAGAAACAAAAACAACCTACTGCTACAACAAACAAAAGAACTTTCCCATTACATTATGGACTTGGTTTACCTATTAAGAGAAGTAAGAATAACGTTAGCGAAGGGAAAAAGTAATTGACATAAATATTATATAGTTTAAAATAGTTGTAAGCACCCCTTGAATTTGAAGTTTGGGACAAGTTTGCTGCAAATCAAGCTCATGAAAAGGGTGCAGTCATTATGGGCACAAAGGTTCGTTGCAAATGAAAAAATAGAAATCAGTATTAAAAGAAAAAATATCATGAAATTGACATTTTTTATATTACTTTCAGCTTCTTCCTTTTATCTGCATTTGCTGGATTTTTTTTGCAGGACCTTTTGTTATGCCCCAAGACACTACACCTAAGTGTAAAGACCTTTTTAGATTTCGGCTCTTCATTTGAATATCTCCTTCTTGATTTCAGAGGTTTGCTAGCCTTGGGCTACCTGTATGGTGGCCAATTATATTCATTATTGACCTCTGGCCAACTGGCCTTGTCGGGGACAAGTTGGACCATGTATGCATAAGTTTGCAGGTACATTGGAGTTCTAAGCTTCTAATCAACATAATGTTCATAGTGGGAAATGTTCTTGTGTAGCAAACAGGCAACTATCAGGAATTCCTTGTGTTCATGTTGTTTTACATGAGTTTACATTCTCATCATCTACAACAAACTCTTCAGATCCAGGGTACCGAACTTTGACATTTCTAGCTGCCTCAATCATCTTGTTTATCTTTCTGTGAATCACTGGTGGAAAAGGTGTAATCCACTATGTACCGGCTTTGAATCTGCATTGTAACTGCTTCGTTACCTACGTCGGTAAAGTTCCAATGGACTTAGTATAGGAAGTTCTCTGTCTTTACCAAGCTATGAGTTGAAGCACTCACTCAAGTTGTTAGTTATGTGATCTGACTTTGTTATTGTGTCAAACACATGTCTGGACCATTAGTCTGGTTCATTTTCAAGCAACCATTTGTATACACCCTCATCTACATCCTTCACACTACCTATGACCTTAACAAAATCCGGTCTATTTGCAGTCTTACTCACAGCCCAAAACAATTTCCTCATGTGAACCCTGGAAATTTTTTTTCTGAAGTTTGCGTACACATGTCAAGCACAAAATCGACTCCTTGCATTTGGCCACTTTACTTGTAATGCATATAGAACACCCTTTTGCCTGTCACTCATGAATGTAACATGCTCTAAATCACCCAAAAAATCATGCAATAGTCCAAGGAAAAAGCCCCACGAGTCATTATTCTCCACCTCATAAACACATATTGCCAAAAGGAATATCCCACTGTTTGCATCCGTAGAGACTACCGATAGAAGTACCCCATCATAGTGACATTTCAAATGACACTCGTCAATTCTTATGAAATGCCTACACCCCTCCAAAATTCCTCTTTTCTGAGCAGCAAAACTTACAAAAAATCTCTTGAATCTAGACTTTGTGGGACTTTTTCTCTAATTGTAAGACTGTTTGGGTCTTCTTCTTTAACCAACCTAAGTTCTATCATGAATCGCTAGTTGGTAACCTGAAGAATGTGGTTGTACTTGAACAACCAGGCAAAAGACTCAGCATGTTGTTTTTGGGTCATTCCAGTGGTCAATCTCCTAGCCCTATACAACTTCCTTTTATGTATCTCCAAAAAATGCACCCTTCCTAATTCAACATCTAAGGGCTTAACACAACTCCCCTTGTGTGACCGAATGAATCCCCCCATTTTCTCGGCAATCCATAAGGCAAAGACATCCGGGTTGTTATATACTCTAAGGCATGTGTGGTTGGTTTCATATTTCCTAATTTGCCACGATTGTTTGTCAACCATTAAGGCTGCATATAGAAAGAATGGGCAACCCTCTTCTTTACATGCCACTTTGATCCTCTTCTTGTCATTATGTACCATTCTCACTGTGAACCCTCTCTGAATTATGTAGTCCTTGAAAATTCCACTAAAATTGATTTTATTTCTAAACACTTGCCCCACCTCAAATTTAATTTTCCCATCTGCCCCATGCTGAAACTCACTTGCCTTCATATGCCTACTCATCCTACTCACTGGAACCTCATCCTCACTAGACCCCCCATGCAATCGTCACTGTTTTTCTCATAATCAGATAGATGCCCCTAAGTTTTAGCCTCTTCCTCTCCCCCATTATCACTAGTTTCAGCCATTTCCTTTCTCCCATTACCTCTATCATTATCACCAGCCTCACCATCAAAATTCCCAGCTGCAACAACAAATCCATCACTGCTTTCATCATCATTGGAGGCATCACTCCAATGGAAGTCATCATCAAAATACTTTTCGGGGGTAATTTCTGTTTGAGTGTCATTGGGTTTAGTATGGTTGGGTTCTGGCAAAGGTTGCAATGGTTCCACACACTATATAGGTAAAGCTTCAACATACAACCTAATGTCCTTTAACCCCTTAGACCCATATTGCTGGAAAAGGAATGCCACATCTTCATCACTATCTATTAAACGTTTCTCCCACGACAATGGTAAAGTAGCCTCCACTTTAAACTTCTCATCAAGATGAAGCTGAATTGCCTCATTCGCTTCTAGAACACATTTTTTCATATCCTTTATCAAAACTATGTAGCTAAATTCATTAGGGCCCACATTCTGCATCTCACAATCAATACCAAACAACTAAAACTTCAAATTAAACAGTTGTCGCTTCATCCTGCAACCCAAAAGTATCCAAACAAACAAACAAAAAACCTTAAAAACAACCAAACATGCAAAACCAAGAACATTCATTACACACTGCTACATACAATAAGATCGGTACGTGACGTTGTTAACCGGGTGGTCAACATGTAAACTTACAGTCCTCTGCACATACAGAGTACTCTTTCCCGCTAGTAGCAGTGCACACCTAGTTTTCCAGCCGATATACCATACCTCATTAACAAAATGTAGTATCAAACATCACAAATGAAGAACAAACCCTAAACCAAACAAACAAATGAAGGACATCATATAATTAACTCTATTGATAACAAACCCTAAACCAAACAAACAAACAAAAACCAAGAAAAACAAACAAACAAACAAACAAACAAAAAACTTTAAAAACAACCAAACATGCAAGTAAAATAAGAAAAAACCGAAGAACAAATATAAGCTTACATCCTTTAAATAAGTTATTGTTAAGAGTTAGATTGAGAATGCTAATTGAGTCTAAATGAAGGCACACGTGGTTCAATGATCATGCATGTAACCTTTACCTTACCTCTTAAAGTAGAAAGAATCGTCTTTGACCATCGAAGCTCTATAACATGGATAAAAAGTTGATAGCTCTTCTTCAACTCAAAGTGTACAACATCCACAATTTTGTTTTAACTTAATTTAATAGTTGAAATAATAAAATATCTGAGCAATAACATGGCATAAATTGAGAAACTAGTTATCATTAAAGCGGTTGAGTAACTAGGATTTGATGTCCACCTCTTCCTCTCTCTCTCTCTCTCTCTCTCTCTCTCTTTATACTTTTGATTGGTATGTTTTATCCACTAACAATCTTTCTCATTATTCTTCTCGTTTATTATGTATTTGTTTCTGCCTTTACAAGCTCAGTCTATGGCTGTTTGGTCTTTTTCATTGTCTTTTGGGATTGCAACAACTCTCTTATGATTTCCTTTCTTCTTCACTTGTTCTTTGCTATTGGTTTAAACAACAATTTTTTTTTTTTTTTCATTTTCTTCTGGATTTGAACATTTTTATTGCTAAAATGTTACCGCACGACCTTAAACCAACCAAACAAACAAAAAACTTTAAAAACAACCAAACATGCAAGTAAGAAAAACCAAGAACAAATAAGAAAAACTAAAAACTTAGAAGTGCACTAAAATAAGAAAAAACCGAAGAACAAACAAGAAAACCAAGAAGAAACTTTCGGCTAACCCTTTCGATTTTCGTTGTTCGGTCATCGTCGACGATTTATACCGTTAATAACGCCGACCTTAGTTCAGTCGTTCTCCAGCTTCGTCATTACCCCACGATTCTCTCCTCAGACGTCGTCGATCGTCTTCGTTTAGAATTCGTTGCCGTTCAGTGAACTCACTCTGCCACCAATTGTCGGTTTCAACTCCTCCATTGTTGCCGATTTCCATTTCACTATCGTTGCTGATGGTCTCCAAATGATGGCAACAACTTCCTTCAAAAACTCCTTTAGAGAGTTAGAGACAAACGAGAAGGAAACGAAGAGGCAAAACTTTTGGTTTATTTGGTTTTTTTTGCATAGTCAACCTAATGGGACATGTGTCCATAAATCAAGGTGATAATTTAAAAGTTAAAAGTTTGACGATGGTACAAAATTATTGTATTGCCCTTTATAAAACGAAAATCACTAATAGCACAGGACATAAAGTACCTGTTTGTTGTTTTCAAACCTCTTGGTACCAATTTTTCGTTGCGGCAAAACTTCTGTACTTGTAAGTTGTTCGGCCATAAAAATGTTAACCCTTGATGCAAAATGAAAATTTGAAAAATTACCATTGAGATAAACATTTATAATTATTATTTTGGAAGATTACATGAATCTGCTACAAGTTTGTTGAAAAGACAAATATCCTAGCACATTTTTAGAAAATAACAACTTACCCATTTGTTAAATATTGATATGTGCAAATTCGAGCATCTTCAAAGGATTCTTTATATAACCCAAACTCTTTATTATATATAGTTTATTCATATAAACAAGAGTTCAACATACTCTTTATTCTTTAAATATAAATTAAAGAATGAGTTTGACTCTCTACGAGTCAAATTTCACTCTCTATCTTAATTTTAAATAATAAATTGCAAGTTTCTATGTATTTTATTTATGATTTATCTCTCTTATTAAGTTTTCTTCTTGGAAAAACATATTTTCTCTCCTAAAATTTAAATAGTTTATTGGATTTGAATAAAAATTTTGTTCTTTATGTTTAAAAATCAATGGAAATGTTTTTTACTTATATGAAATATATGCTCTAAAATAAAGAGCACCATTGAAGATGTTCTTATACGAATATCCTATCCCTTCTTGAAAGAAAAATAAAAATTCTTACAAGAAAGTGATTCGCCCCGCACCCAACCCCAACCTGTAAAACAATTAATAAAATCAACATGTTACATGAACATGGGCTGAAGAGAAAATGTCAAAATTCTAGAATCCGAAATCAATAACCCAAATTAACATAAAAACAACTGTTAAAAAATCTCATGTGGCTGGTAACCCACAGCTAGGTTCTTACAATAAATGACTCAAAGAAGCACTGAGTTGTGACTTGGTGATAACTAGTTGATTGTCTTCAAATTTATTAGACTAGTTGTTGTCGTTGGGTATTTTTTTCCTACGAGAGAATTGAAGGGTGATTTAACTTGTTCTCGTTGATGTCAAAATTTTAATCTTAAATGATTTATTTCTCATATAATTATTGACATGTAAATGAATTGATAATTGGATAAATTATATTAAAAAGCAACCAAATAGGATGATAAATCATGTTGAGATATGGATTTTGAATTATCCATGCGAAATGTTGCGTATGACATTATTGAATTACTTTTAAATTGTTTTTGTAGTATAAATAATTTTGGTTTAGTATAATATTGTGTCTTTCAAGCAAATATCCCATGCTTTGCTTTAAAATGATGTAATGTTTTTTTAAATATTCACATATGTAAATTATTTTAGTAGTTTGTTTATAAGTTAAACACACAAAAAAAATCATATAATTGAACATAAATAAATAATAATATAATAGAACTAACTAGAGAAACATTGGTTTATAATGAGTTGAAAAAATTGGAATTCCTTACAGATAAGTAACCTCTTAAAATGTCCTAAGAGGGCGTTTGGTTGGAGGTTATGTGGGATTACTGGGGTTAAGTCATCTTATATTACTTGATTACCATGTTTGGTTGTCAAGTAGTATAAGATACCGGTACTTTTCAAATACCAATAGTGGTTACCATTGGTAATATTGAAGTTAATCTGATTACCTCAATTTTCTTAGGTATTCTAAGATTACCAGAGTTATCTTTTTTTGTTACAATTTTATCCCTTATTAATAAAATTTTAGGACAATAATGCCCTTATTTTTAAATTTATTTACATGAATATGACTTTTATTATTTCACTTAAATTAATTAACTTTTTGGACAAAATTACCCTTGAATTCAAAACAAATTGCAGCCCACCCAAGCCACCACCCCCACCCACCTACCGCCGCGGCCGTCATCAAAAAGGCACACGGCATGCTGAAAATGGCCGACGTGCGTCGATATGACCATTTTCGACTAGATATTTGGCTGGAAATGGCCAGATTCGTCAATCTGGCTGTTGACTACCAGATCGACGGATCTGGCCATTGACTGCCTGATCCATCATCGATCTGGCTATCGACGACCAGATATGTCACGTGTGGCCATTTCCAGCTAGATCTGTCACGTCTAGCCATTTTCGGCCAGATATTTGGCTAGAAATGGTCTTACGGCGCATGGAGGCCATTTCTTGCCTTTCGTGAGGCGTTACCTTGCCGGCTGCTGGCGGCCTGCGGTGGTTGCCAGCGGGCGGCAGTGGCTGGGTTGGTGGGGGTGCTTGGTTGATTTTCCAAACTTTTTATTATGAGGTTGTTTTTGCTAAGTTTTTAAATATAGGAGGGTTATAATAATCCAAATAATAATCAATATTAAAAAATAATATTTAATTAGAAGATAATTCAGTAATTTACATAACATACCCATTAATTGAGTAATGCTACAGTTACCGAAGGATGCGCACCGAATTCGTGCATTGAATGACATGACGCAATCCTGACCATTGATTCATTATAGGTTAATATTAATCAACGGTCAAGATTTTGCTACGTCATTCGGTGCATAGATTCGTTGTGTAATTTTCGATACTTCTATCATTCTCTAAAAAAAAGTAATTTTCTAAACTTAATATCTAAAAAGAACATTACCCAAAAAGGTACTGAAATAAAGCAAATATGAAAAAATAATAAACGGAGCAAATTGAGAATAAACCAGCCCTAGCTTCTGCCTTCTCGACTTCACTCTGTCTCATCCCATTTGAATATCTCCTTCTTGATTTCGAGGTTTGCTACTTGGGCTCCTGTATGGTGGCCAATATATTCATTATTGACCTCTAGCCACTGGCTTGTCGGGGACAAGGTGGACCATGTATGCATAAGTTTGAGGTACATTGGATTCTGCTTCTATCAACAAATGTTCATAGTGGGAAATGTTCTTGTGTAGCAAACAGGCAACTATCAGGAATTCCCTGTGTTCCATCACATGTTGTTTTACATGAGTTTTACATTCTCATCATTACAACAAACTCTTCAATCCAGGGTACCGACTTTGACATTTCTGCTGCCTCAATCATCTTGTTTATCTTTCTGTGAACATGGTGGAAGGTGTAATCCACTATGTACCGGCTTGAATCTCATTGTAACGCTTCTTTACCCTACTCTAAGTCCAGTGGACTTAGTATAGGAAGTTCTCTTCTTTACCAAGCATGAGTTGAAGCACTCACTGTTGTTAGTTAGTGATCTGACTTTGTTATTGTGTCAAACCATGTCTGGACCATTGTCGGTTTATTTTCAAGCAACCATTTTATCACCCTCATCTACATCTTACACTACCATGCCTTAACAAAATCGTTTTTTGCATCTTACTCACGCCAAAACAATTTCCTCATGTGAACCCTGGAATTTTTTTTCTGAAGTTTGCGTACACATGTCAGCACAAAATCGACTCCTTGCATTTGGCCATTACTTTAATGCTATAGAAACCCTTCCCTGTCACTCATGAATGTACATGCTCAAATCACCCAAAAAATCATGCAATAGTCCAAGGAAAAAGCCCCAGAGTCATTATTCTCCACCTCATAAACACGTATTGCCAAAAGGAATATCCCACTGTTTCATCGTAGAGACTCCGATAGATACCCCACATAGTGACATTTCAAATGACACCTCAATTCTTATGAAATGCCTACACCCTTCCAAAATTCCTCTTTTCTGAGAGCAAAACTTACAAAAAATCTCTTGAATCTAGACTTTGTGGACTTTTTCTCTAATTGTAAGACTGTTTGGGTCTTCTTCTTTAACCAACCTAAGTTCTATCATGGATCGCTGTTGGTACCTGAAGAATGTAGTTGTACTTGAACAACCAGGCAAAAGCTAGCATGTTGTTTTTGGGTCATTCATGCAATCTCTAGCCCTATACAACTTCCTTTTATGTATCTCAAAAAATGCACCCTTCCTAATTCACATCTAAGGGCTTAACACAACTCCCCTTGTGTGACCGAATGAATCCCCCCATTTTCTCGCAATCCATGAGGCAAAGACTCGGGTTGTTATATACTTCAGGCATGTGTGGTTGGTTTCATATTTCCTAATTTGCCAGATTGTTTGTCAACCATTAAGGCTCATATAAAAGAATGGCACCCTTTCTTTCACAGCCACTTTGATCCTCTTCTGTCATTATGCCATCTCACTGTGAACCCTCTCTGAATTATGTAGTCCTTGAAAATCCACTAAAATTGATTTTATTTCTAAACACTTGCCCCACCTCAAATTTAATTTTCCATCGCCCCATGCTGAAACTCACTTGCCTTCATATGCCTACTCATCCTACTCACTGGACCTCATCCTCACTAGACCCCCTATGAATCGCACTGTTTTTCTCATAATCAGATAGATGCCCCTAGTTTAGCCCTCCTCTCCCCCATTATCACTAGCTTTAGCCATTTCCTTCTCCATTACCTCTCATTATCACCAGCCTCACCATCAAAATTCACAGCTGCACAACAAATCATACTGCTTTCATCATTGGAGCATCACTCCAATGGAAGTCATCTCAAATACTTTCAGGGTAATTTCTGTTTGAGTGTCTTGGTTTAGTATGGTTGGGTTCTAGCAAAGGTTGCAATGTTCCACACACTATATAGGTAAAGCTTCACATACAACCTAATGTCCTTTAACCCCTGACCATATTGCTGGAAAAGGAATGCCACATCTTCATCACTTCTATTAAACGTTTCTCCCCCCGACAATGGTAAAGTAGCCTCCACTAAACTTCTCATCAAGATGAAGCTAATGCCCATTCGCTTCTAAACACTTTTTTTTCATATCCTTTATCAACATATGTAGCTAAATTCATAGGCCCACATTTGCATCTCACAATCAATACCAAACAACTAAAACTTCAAATTAAACAGTTGGTGCTTCATCCTGCAACCCAAAGTATCCAACAAACAAACAAAAAACCTTAAAAACAACCAAACATGCAAAACCAACATTCATTCACACTGCTAATACAATGAGATTGGTATGCGTTGTTAACGGGTGGTCAACTGTAAACTTACAGCCTCTGCACATACGAGTACTCTTTCCACTAGTAGCAGTGCAACCTAGTTTTCAGCGATATACCATACCTCTTAACAAAATGTAGTACAAACATCACAAATGAGAACAAACCCTAAACCAAACAAACAAATGAAGGACATCATATAATTAATCTATTAGAACAAACCCTAAACCAAACAACAACAAAAACCAGAAAAACAAACAAAAAACAAACAAACAAAAAACTTTAAAAACAACCAAACATGCAATGAAATAAGAAAAAACCGAAGAAACAATATAAGCTTACATCCCTTAAATAAGTTTATGTTAAGTTAGATTGAGAATGCTAATTAGTCTAAATGAACACACGTGGTTCAATGATCTGCATTAACCTTTACCTACCTCTTAAAGTAGAAAGAATCGTCTTGACCATCGAAGCTCATAACTGGATAAAAGTTGAGCTTTTCTTCAACTCAAAGTGTACAACATCACAATTTTGTTTTAACTTAATTTAATGTTGAAATATAAAATATCTGACGATAACATGACATAAATTGAGAAACAGTTATCTTAAGCGTTGAGTAACTAGGATTGATGCACCTCTCTCTCTCTCTCTATATCTTTTGATGTGGTAGTTTTATCCACTAAACATCTTTCTCATTCTTCTCTCGTTTATTAGTTATTTGTTTCTGCCTTTACAAGCTCAGTTATGGTGTTTGGTCTTTTTCTTGTCTTTTGGGATTGCAACAACTCTCTTATATTCCTTTCTTCTTCACTTGTTCTTGCTATTGGTTTAAAAACTATTTTTTTTTTCATTTCTTCTGAATTTGACTATTTTTATTGCTAAAATGTTACCCCACACCTAAACCAACCAAACAAACAAAAAACTTTAAAAACAACCAAACATGCAAGTAAGAAAAACCAAGAACAAATAAGAAACTAAAAACTTAGAATGCACTAAAATAAGAAAAAACCGAAAACAAACAAGAAAACCAAGAAGAAACTTTCGGCTAACCCTTTGATTTTGTTGTTCGGTCATGTCGACGATTTATACCGTTAATAACACCGACCTTAGTTCAGTCGTTCTCCACTTTCGTCTACCCCACGATTCTCTCCTCAGACGTCGTCGATCGTCTTGTTTAGTTCGTTGCCGTTCAGTGAACTCACTCTGCCACATGTCGTTTCACTCCTCCTATTTGCGTTTCCATTTCACTATCGTGCGATGGTCTCCAAATGATGGCAACAACTTCTTAAAACTCTTTCAGAGAGTTAGAGACAACAAGGAAACGAAGAGGAAAACTTTTGGTTTTTTTGGTTTTTTTGCAAGTCAACCTAATGGGACATGTGTCCAAATCAAGGTGATAATTTAAAGTTAAAAGTTTGACAGTAAAATTATTATTGCCCTTTATAAAACAAAATCACAATAGACAGACAAGTACCGGCAAACTGTACATTCTGATTGTACTTGTAAGTTGTTCGCCATAAAAATGTTAACCTGATGCAAAATGAAAATTTGAAATAACCATTGAGATAAACATTTATAATTATTATTTGGAAGATACATGAATCTGCTACAAGTTTGTTGAAAGACTTATTCAATTCTATAAATACCCACATCATTATGGTGAATAATGATTATGCCCTCATGCTATTATGAGTTAGTGAAATGACCATTTTGCCCCTATGAGTTTGTAAAAAATGAGATACAACAAATGACCAATTCATCCCTGTTTTGGTAGCAACAATATAAATATACTCATTTGTGGCTGAAAATTGAAATTTTTCATAATTTAAAAGAAAACATTCATACAAAAAAACTAAGCAGTTTAAACAGAAATTTAAAATAAAGCATTCATAATTAACATGAATTCAATACATGATATTCAGTATCAATTAAATTTTCAAGGTCTAAATATAAACCATGAATTCAGTACATGAAAATGTGTATAGGGAAGGGAAGATATACAACTGAAACTTCAAACTTCAAATCAGGTTTGAAAAAATTGCCCATATGCACACCTATAGCTGCAAAAACAGGCACAAAATTGTTCTCTTCTCCATCCTGCAAATCCACAAATGCACACCCATAACTGCAAAAACAGGCAAAAAATTGTCAAAAGACACCTTTTGAGGGGTGGATCATTGTTAAGAACAATGATATTACTAATTATTCAAGGAAATTTCAACCAATATTGCTCAATGCTTGATTTTTATACGCATAGAAAAAGAAAAGGGAACAGAAGATGTATATTTGAATCAACTTAGATGTAGTTCTACTGATTTATAATGAATAATGAAGCACAAATTTTACATTTTCAGAAAAATTTTCCAAGCCATCAATGAAAATGTGAATTCAGATTTACTCTATTGATTAGGCATACAATATGCTCATATCAAAATATGAATTAACCCTAACAAAATAAAATCAAAAATCAAAGAAGAGCATGCATCATGCCTACGAGGGCTTCTATCATTTGACGAAACCAGGTGGTCATCAAAATATTATATATATAATTAAAAAGGCACTCCTAAATCCTGATGCTAGTTTGAAACCAAATAGCAATTTAATCATCTATGACACCATTACCAAATCTATATTTCCAATGTAATAAAATGTAGATACATGCTCCTGTCTAGTACAAAAATCATCATTGCAAATCCACTACAATGGGACTGCATCATGCAAACTGGATTCCTTAAAAAGAA